ATATACTTATGCATGTATAAGTAAGTATACATTTTTCTATTTATTTTACATAAGATGTATTGTATGTGCATACATATGGATGTACATAAATCTTGTATTAATAAATTTCCTATTTGATATATAAATTCGATATATAAACGTTGTATTTAATAAATAGTTATAAATATAACTAGCGTTTTTAGCTATTTATTTAGGAAAATAAAGGGAAAGATATAAAATTAGAGCAGAACTTTAACTTAATTACATATGAATATAAATCTGTTATACATATAACAGATAAGTATATATACATATATACATACATATAACAGGCAGATATAACAGAAATTTTTAAATAATTTTCCTATATAGGAAAATTTCCAATTATAAAAAATATAATTTTATTAATTCTTGATAATTTCTAAGTAAACAAAATTATTATGAGTAATATTTTGAATAATATTTATTAATTAAGGTGAAATATCAAAATTAATTTGAATGATTAAAAGTATTAAATAAAGAAAATCTTGTTTTCTAACATTTGAGTATGTCATGTATGTATATATGCACATACAAATTTTGTTCGTTCATGGTTTAAATGAAATCTAAAATACTGGTCTTATTGAATAAGAATAAGATATTCAATTGTTATGATTTTATGAATATTGTTTATGGAATGTACTTTGTATATAGATATTGCACTGTATATTTTCAAGCAGTTTTTATTTTAAAGTGTTAATTATCTATGTATTGTGTTCAAAATAAATTTTTAAATTAATTATAATTTTTGATTTATTTATTTATTTAAATAATATGGAATTATGGTTAATGAATGGATTTAATTCTAATTTCATCAGCAGTTTCGAGTATGTCCAAATTTTAATGTTATAATGTGATTAAATCCAGTAAATAAATATGTACATGCATAATGCATCCATAAATAAGTGCTAGCAGAAGATTTGTCTTAACACTATATTAAAATTCGTAAATATGTTTTATTATTTATCATTTCAAGTATCCATTATAGAGTTTCATTTAAGTAAATAGAATGTTATACACTCTAGGTGAATAATATTTTTAATTATACTAGAAAAGTAGTTGAAGAGTATTTATGCATTTTACACATATTCATTCCAATAGATGGCTTAATTTTTTTTTATTGAAAACAAAGATCAATGTAGTAACCTAAATGTTGGCAATTATGTTGCGACTCAAACACATGGTTGTGCGGCTACAATCAAATTCTCAATATTTAAATTTACAGATTAAATTATTACAGGTCATGTCATTTACAAACGGCTCTCAACAAAGAAGTCATTTTGGAGTGCTTTTTCCTGTAAACATAATTTTAGTACTTTAATGTAATAACATTTTAGTACTTATTTAATGTAATAACATTTTAGTACTTATTTAATGGAATATATGGGTACTAAAATGATGACATAAAAATAAAATAAGTTTTTAATTATAAATTTTGTGATTAAATATGAAAATTTTTGCCTTATAATGCTGTGCCTAAAACTTTTTTCTTTTTACTAATTCCGCTACCTAAAAACTTGTGTATGACAAAAGAAGAAAAATAAAACCAAATTAAATTTTTTTTTTTAATTTATTTTAGAAATTAACCTTGATTTTTTTTTGTTTTGCATTTTCGTTATATTTTTTTTAAAATTGAAAATTTTTAGAGAAATCGAATTTTCAATGTCAATTCAAATTAAAACAATTTTTTTTTGGTTTTTTTTTTTATTGTCAATTTATTTACATATCAGTAGGGTTTTAAAATTAGATTTTACTTTTAGTTTTTTTTTTGTTATACGCATTTGAAATCTTAAAATATAAAATTTGTATTTTTTTTTGTGCTTTTTTGTATTAAATAACCTTATAAAGTCTGTTTTTAAATTTCCATTTTACCTTCAGTTTTAGTTAGTTTTATTTTTTTTTTTTTTAAATAAAATAAGCGTTTTTTTGTACATTTTTTTTTGTTCCTATTAGGCTAGCTGGCTTGGTTTTTTTTATTATATTTATAATAAATAAATAGATGGCGTCATATTATTTTTTGTATAGAAAGAGAAAACTATAATAATTTTACCAATTTTTTTTTCTTTTAATAATGTTATATAATCTATTCACTTTCTCTTATTACTGGTGGGTACTTTTTTATTAAGTAAAAAAAAAAAAACTATGGAAAATGGAATTTTTAAAGTGAAGGTAATTTTTTTTTATTGAATTTTTTGGACAGGTTTTTATTTCTTGTTTTAATTGTTATGATGTTTTATGTATTAAATTAAAAGTTTAAGTTTAAAAATAATTAAGTATACATATAAATAAATTTATTAATTATTTCCTATATACTTAGATAAAGATACTTAGCCACATGCACACTTGTGTTTGTATATAAATACAAACATACATAAGCATAACATAAGTTGTTATGTAATTTATATCAAGGTTAGATTACGTTAGGTTATATCATAATATTAACTACCTCGAGTATCAAAATATTAATTTAAGTTTGGCATGCCCGTTGTATACTACTGATAAATCTCCACAACTCACTCTTAACTTAATCTACTTAAGCTTAATACAAACTAAAATCAACCAGCATTTGTACTAGTCAGTTTTGTAACCCGTTAAAAAATCAAGTAAGTGTTACATTCTGGGCCTAACAACTTTTTTGATCATTAGATACATATAGAGTATCATTGACAAGTTATTACATTATACATCGAGCTTCAAAATTTTATATTTAAGATATGCTTGAATTTTGGGACATCTTTTCTAATAGCATTTTTTCATTTTTGTACAATTTGCAGAAAGCATATAAAATTCGTTAATTTAGTAGTATTTTAAAAAAATGTCAAAATTAAATTCATATTACATAAGTAAATAAGTAGTGCAATAATGCACATTTATAGAGAACAAAGAGACAAATCTTTATTTTCGTATCTAATGAAATGCAATACACACATATTTTATATTTTTATTCCGGTAAGAATTCGTAACCTAATTTTATTTCTTCGGTTTGAGAATTGAATACCAGATTGACTTGAAAATTTTGACATTTTGCTAAACACTCTTAAAACCAATTCTGCTTTCTTCTGATTTTAAAAATTTAAAAATTAAAATGGTTTAAAATGCTCTTTTTTGTGAGAACACGTAGAAAATAAATAAAAAATTAACGCGACTTAAAAATGTAAACTTTATTTCTAACGCTCACTGTATATACCTACATATTTTCAAAAAAATATATTACATTATTTTCTAAAGATCTGTTATATAATAATTTTCCCATAACTTTAAACAAAAGAAAAGAAAAAGAAGAAAAAAAAAACGGGTATGAGTTGAAAAGATATAAAAAGTGTGTACACACAAACTTTCATACATGCATTCATTCAAATTGTGTGCATGTATTCATCCATTTATCTTTTTTTTTTGTTTTTTTTTTTTTTGTAAGGTATAAAACTCCATTTTTCTTTCTTTCTTTCTCTTTTCTACAATAAATTCTTTCTTTTTCTTTTATTCCTCCTACATTAAAATGAAAAAGCAAAAAAGAAAAAAAAACAAAAAGAAAAAATTAAAAAACCTTTTTCTGTAAATTTTTTTTCCTTCTTTTACTCGTTTCTTTCCCATTATTCAAAAATCAAAAAAAAAAAAAAAGAAGAAAACCAGAAAAACATAAAAAATATCTGTCTTTAATCTCAACTGTAGATGGCGTGTTATGTTCTGCTATTTGAATTGTGAATACTTTTTTTTTAAAGTGAATTAAATTGAAATTCACTTACTTTTATTCAAAAAGTACCTACAATGAAAATTATTGCAAATCACATAACTTTTGTGAAATGAAGTGAAGGTACAGTGGAAAAAATATTATAAGTTTACTTGCTTGCTTCCCTATATATTATGCATATGTAAGTATGGATGTACATGCAAAAATACTTATAACATGTTAAATGTATAACTAATTTTATATGTATGATATGTGAATGTTATGCATTTAAGTAAAAAGTAAAAGTTAAAAACTAAAATATAAGATGAATTAAATTATTAAATATGCAATTATTTAAAACAACAAAAATACAGAAAGAAAAAAAAACAAAACGGAAAGGAAAGGTGCTATTACAAAATTTATTGTTTAATAATAATGTTAATGTACACTTTACAGTAGAACTTTTCTTTATGGGTTGCACAAAAAATGTATAACACATATTATGTATATCAATTTTTTCGGCTCATATAATTTTAAACTATGGAATTTTCTTTGAAAATATTCAATATTGATTGCACAAAATAAATACAAGTGATATACAAAATAATACTAAATATCTAACCAATTTACAAAAATGAGAAATATTTTGTATTGAAAATAATTGTAGTTATGGCCTTCTGTTATTGGAAATATTTAGATTGGTAAATTTGGGTTTGCCAAGAAATATTTCAATAACACGTTTATTTGAAATTTTCATATCTCTACTTTGCAATTTAAATTTTAAATACTAATAAGTATAATATAATGTGAATACATTTTTCTCTTAGTCAGTGATAAAAAAAAAATAGATACATAATTAGATTTATAGGTTATATTTCAAATTTTATTTAAAATTGAACTTCATATATATAACAAATGTATAATAAATATGAATATCCCGAAAAAAGAGAAATACTCTACATACCAGTTCTAAAAATATACCATCTTTAGAACTAACTTCAAAAAAATATTAAATATTTCTCTAAATGCACCTTATTCCAATTAGAACTAAATAACAATTAGGATTTAAATAAGTGAATACACACTTATTTAGTTATTTTCTTAAGGCGTAAATAATCATATAAGGATTCCACTGTTGGTAAATTATTATACTTAGTACATTTTTAATAAAAATAATTGAATAAATTAAAATTAGATTTGTAACAAGAATTTTAATTTAAATAAAAATATAGGTAATAATAAATTTAATCATAAAATTTTAAATATATATGAAATTAATATATAAATAATAATAACGAATTTATTTATTTTTTACCTGTGACATTAAAATAAAATTGATGATTTTTTATTCCACAATTAGCGATATTTTATGGTAAAAGCAAAGTTAAAAATAACTTTAATTTAAGTTTTGTTACAAAATAATTAATTATCTTTCTTTTTATTATAATTATTTATTTTATTACTTATATATTGTACTTATGTAATCCAAAAATTGATCTGTTATACACTTTTCTTTATTGTATTTTAATTAATTTTTCTTTAATTATAAATATCACTTAAATTCAATTTTAATATTTATTCTAAACAATATTCTAATAAGTATATGGTGTATATTAACATTAAATATTTTACATACTTAATGTAAAAGTACAAAATTTATATGTTATACAATTTATATTTTCAAGATATATTAAAAACACTTTTATTTATTCTCATATTTTTATTATAATTCATGTATTCAATTAAAATTATTTTATAATAGTACATTATTTTCAATTTATTATTTTATTTTATTATTTAATTGAAATTTTTATTATTATTTTATAAAACAATTATTTATTTATTTATTCATTATTATTTTAAATAACCTTTCTATTATTGTTATTTTCTTTCACTTTATATTTGCAGTGTAAGTATAAGTAAATATTGTTAAATTAATATCAATTTAATGAATGAATTAAGGTATTTTTTTAGAATATATGTACTTATATATTATTAATTTATAAATATATAATTATCTAAATTTTGTTTTTGTATTTAATTATTTATTTATAACAAATATTTTAATTTATTTGTTATAATATGCGACATAAGTTGTTTCTATTTTTTTTTTTCAATATTCTAAAAATATTTTCACTTTTATTAAAATAAATCAGAAATATTTATTTTTATATTGTTATACATATATGCAAATTTTGTATATCTTTGTATATATTTGTATTTTTAATTATTTTTTTTTTTCTTAACTTTTGTTTATTTTTTTTTAATGAATAACAATAAAAAATAATTCTTGATTTTGCATTTAAGAAGTTTTTATTTTTTAATTCTTTATTCACATGGTATGGTCACTATAATATTTTATATATACTTATTTGTTAATACACATATATTCACATATATACGTATATATTTTAATGGTTATAAAAATTCTTATTAAGTATATCTGTTTATTATTAAATCAGCTTGTATATCCAGTATGATTCATTTAGAATGAAATTCTTTTTAAAGGTATAACAATTATTTTAATTTATTTTTTTTTCTGTGTTTTTATTATTCTTTTATTATTGTTATTATTAAATTGTTAATTATTTATATATATATATATATATATATATATATCCATAAGAGTGTATGAGAGGAAATTTTTTTTTAATAAATTTTATTTTAAATATTTACAATTTGTTTTTATTGTTTTTGATTTAAAAACTCGAATTGTTAAGGGTACTTAATCCAATATAGAAGGTATTAATATAAAGGGTTTAATAAATTAATATTTTATGTGCATTTAAAATATCAAATACATTAAATAAGTAAGTACTTATAACAGTTTTTTTTTTAATTTTTTAATTAATTTAAATTTGTAAATGATTAATGTATTTGTTTCCAAAAAATTTCACTCATAATTTAGAGAATTTCAATTTTAATAAGTTACTATAGTTATTATTAGTTGTAGGGTTTTAATAAAATCCAATTTATAAAGGGTGTCGGTTAGGTAATTCCAAATTTTTCGTTCTAATTTATTTAATGAAATTAAAATCTTTATTTAAGATTTATTTTTTTTTAAATTACTCAATACACTTTCTTTTTAATTACTTAAATATTATTATTAATTTTTAATTATTATTATAATTTATACTGAGCACTTGTAGGATGTATGCATGCATGTATGTTAAGCAGTTATATGTATACTTTTAAAATTATTTTATTTTCCTTTCTTTTTGTTTTTATAAACTGTGTATATATGCATTTGTATGTCATATAGTAGGTAAAATTTTTATTTAATTATTTAATTATGTACAAAAACTAAAAATATATATAATAATAAAGAAAATGAGAAAAAAAATTATATTATTTTTTTTTATTATTATCATTAATTTTTAATTAAATATAAATTTTATTACGTTCTTTTATAAATATGTACACATATGAGTATGTAAATATTATTATTGAATTTTAATGTAAATATTTTATTAAGTTAATTTAATAAAAAGAAAAACAATAATGTTTATAACCTCAAAAATAATAATATAGACTAAGTAAGTAAAGGAAATTGCCAAAAAAAAAATTATTAAAAATTAAAAATAATAATTCTTGTTTTTATATGAAACAAATTAATTTACGATAAAAAAAAATTATAAACACAATAAAAATATACAAAATTTATTTATTAAAGAAATTTATTGAAATTTTATTCAAATAAAAAGTAGGTTAAATAAAGTAAGTAGTAGATATATATACAATGAGTACGTATAAGTGTAAGCGGAATAGTTTGTTAAGAAAAACAGTTAAAAATATAGTCTAAAATTTTCATTTACATACACACGTATGTACATACATATATTATGTAGTATATTTAAGTTTTTATTTATAATTAAGTATTAAATAAGTTTTTATTTAATATACACTGTTAGACATCTACATAAAAATTTTATATTATTATTTATTTACTTTTCAATTGTAATTATTGCTTTTTCACTTGTTAGTATACCTTCCCAATATACTATATACTATTTAAGTATGAAGATCATTTATATTTAATTTAATATGTACATAGGTATAAAATTTTTATCACAATTTAAAATATGCATTTTCTATTTAAATGAAATCCTTTTTTCAAATTAATTGAAGATGTAAGCAAGTAAGAAATAAGCAAGTATGTAGGTTTATATAGATCATATTTTATATTAATTGATTTATTAATTATTATGATGAGTATTCCATGGGTTCATTTCAATTTTTAATTTTTAAGTAGGTATTTATGCATTTCAAGCAATTAAATTAGAAAAAATTTTGAATTTCAATTAATTTTTTCAATATTTTGTACATGTAAGTGTTATACGGCATTATTTAAAAATAAAATATAAAATTAATTGAAAGGATAGTTAAAATAAAAATGTCCACTGCACCATTTTTGATTAATCCATTTAATTCGTTTGATTTTTTTTTTCTGAAAACACACAATTTTTTTTTTTACTGCTTTAATTTCTCCAAATATTTTCCGCGCTTTTGGAACAAATTTATTATATTTTATTGTTTTAATAAAAAAAAATGGGAAAAAACTATGCAATTTTGTATTTTATGTTTCTACTAGTGTACATGTAATTATAAAATTTTGAAATACTCAAATAAATGTGTGTAATTGCAAAATCATATTTGAAATAGAAAAGGAAAGGCGAAAATAAAATCAACGAGAAAACGCACAAACGAAAAAAAAATTTCTTTTTTTCCTTTTTTATTATTTTGATTTTTTCTTTTTTGTTTCGCTTTATTTGTTTTTCTGTTTATTTTTTTTTTTTCAGCAACACAACACAATAAACGACGACAACGTCTACTGCCCTCCGATCATAACGAGTAATTCTGGATAACTGAAAAAACAGAAAAAAAAACAAACTGTACAAAGTGTAAAAAATTTTTGTCTGTCTATGCGGATTGCGCAGCAGATTTTCCTTTCTTTTTTCCTTTCTCAAAATCAAAAATACATAAAAAAAAATAAAAACATAAAATAAAAATATTTTCGTTTTGTTTTTGTTGTTCTTTTTTTCTTTGTTGCTATTCTCGTTTTTTTTCTTCTTCTTCTTCTGTAGCTTTTACACTCTATTGTTAACTAACTTTATTTCACATTTTTATTTACTTTATTTACTAGCTGGCTGGCTTACTTACTTACTTACTTACCCATATCTTTATACATAACTCTTACTTAAAAAAAAAAAAACAAAAACTGATTAAAGCAAAAACAAAAAATTTGTACAAAATTTCATGTTTTTGTTTTTTCGTTTTCTTTTTTTATTGTGTCAGAGAATATTATTTTATTAATAATATTACGTATATAAAATATTATACATACTTATATACAAACACATACATATTATATAAAACATATCTGCAAACATAACATTATATTTTTTTGGTAGTAAAATTTTAAGTAGTAAAATATAAAAAAAAAAAACATTTTTATCTTATTTTACACACATTTAACCACATTACATATGTTTCGATTTCAATCCAAATCCGCAATATCACATATAATTTAACACATATACATTTATGCATTTACATATGTATGAGTGAGTTTGTTAAATTGATTGCCATTCATAATATTTTATACAATTGCGTTCGGGTTCGAATGTATGTAGTAGGTAAAATATTAAAAAAGGGAGAAAAAAAAAGTTATGAAAGTGACAGTTAATGTCGCCGCGTTGAGTCAGATTTTTAAAGCACATTATATACATACATATATTATAAGTTCTATAAGCATGTATATATATTACGTGCTAAAAAACAATACAAATGTAGAAAAACATTATTCATTGCACACTTTTTTAGTAGCCATAAAAATTAGTAAGTTAGTAGTATTATTGGAAAAGAGAAACAAAAAAAAAAATAAGTAATGTTATAACAGATAACAGAATGTTAAAATTAAATTAAATAGCAAACAATAATGAGAATAGAAAATATACTTATAATAAATTTATAATGTACAAAACTCAAAACAATGTGCTTAATATGAGAGAGTAAAATTATATTTTCTTGTTTTCTAGGACTGTTGTATTACTGCTAATATTACTGCAACAACAGTATAAGACACAATAAAGTTGATATATTTATGTTAATTAAATAAAGATTATATTTGCATTTCCTTACTCAACATAATGTTAATTAGCGAAATATACTAGTAATATATTTACATATAACACTTATTTATACATATATTTTACTAAAATATTTAAAAAAAGATTTCAATTCTAAACAAAGCTATATATGTATGTAGATTTAGTTGTGGACCAATATTCAAATTTCTATAAAGAATGGCTATAAAAATCAATAAGAAAAAGGTTAAAAAATGGCAATTCGGGAGATGGTGCACTTCTACTAAGTATCCCTGAATCAATAAAATCTAATTCTAGTGGACTTTATTTTTTTTAGTCTAAAAAATTTCTCAAATTTCTTTAAATTCAAATAAAAACTTTCAAATTTA